TTGAAAAAAGTTTCATTCGAAAACCTCAAACCATGAAGATTCTATGACAATTCAAAGAACCTATTGCAATAAAACGGCAATTTCATACTTTAACCCCTAATATTTACTTTTCCCGGCTCTAGTCGATTCCGCGTAGTAGGTCACCATACTTAGGCCGTATTCTGATTTGTCGGTGCGGTAGCGGCGTGACATCAGTATTCTCGAACAATAACGTAACGCCTTCATCTACACACGTGTCGGTATATTCTCGGTATAAAATTAAGAAGCATACCGCTTGTGACGTCGCGAAACAATGACATTCTTCAATGATAAAAACATTTTAGTGTGTTATTTTTAACTCTGAATACTCTGCTTGTCTATAATTGTACAATACTGGATACTATACGATTTCCAGTACCAAATCAACATGCATGTTTCTGTCCGCCATCATGTTTAATGCGGTAAATGTCGAACATCGGCTGCACGAGCTTTCTGCTCGTACCCAGACTGCGCCAATTAGGAAGCTCACATTGAGATATAGACGCTCGGTAAGCTTTCGGTACTACGTGTACCGAGTGTACCGATACCGCACCGCTACCACATCGACTCAAGTAACGGCCTTACTACGCAGAATCGGTATCGGTATTCCGGGTAGTAAATATCGTGTCTCCCTTATAGGACAACCCGTACTAATGAAACAAAATTTCAGGTTTAGTGGCTGCATTTAGTAAAGATGGTGATGTTCCATTGGATAGCGTAATACACCCTAATTACAACTGGACGATTCATTGCAAAACTATATACCCCGACGCTATATCTACCAGTATCATTGTGAAATTTCTATATGAACCGAATAGCTTATTGCAGTCATTTTCAACAGGTACGACTTTTATCTAATTTTGGTGATGATTTTTAATTTTGAGTTTTAAGTACAAATTATGGTTTGATATTACACTAACAAATAATATAAAAAAAAGAAACATACATATAAACGGCTCCTCAAAATGTCAAGTACTTTTTAAAATATATGAAAATGAAATTTTGTTGGACCACCAAAATTGAAAGTCTGCACCAAAATCAGGATATTGGAAAATACAAATTAAACAATCACAAAAGCTACACTTTGTCCAACGATTTCTTTTATTTTCGCTGCGATATTTATTGAGACAGTAGATTACGTAAGGAAGATTATTCAAGTTGATTTCTCCGTTGAACCTATATAGGTTTTGGTACCTGTCTAATAAATTTTTATGAAAATAGATATGGTTTATGAATTATAACTCCACCAATGTAATTGAACATACTCTAGAAAACAAAAAAGCTTGCTCTACTATATTTTTGGATGTAACCTAAGCTTTTGGCATAAAGGACTTATTTACAAACTTAAGTCTAGACTGCCGAAACAGCTCGCGAAAATATTAGAGTCTTACATTGCTAACAGGTTCTTTAGAGAGCGACAAGAGGAAGTCTTCTCTGAACTGTAGAAAATTGAAGCTAAGAAAAAAAGAGAAGAACTGGACATTCGCTACAGAAATATGTACTGATTGCTTGGCAGACAATAAACACTATCTGTAAGCAATAAACTATTATTGTATAAACAGGACCTAATAATGCCAGTTTGGACCTATGGTATACAGCTCTGGAGCTGCACCGCAGAGACCAACATGGATGTTATTCAACGTTTCCAGAATAAAGTACTTAGGAATATTGTGAATGCCCCTTGGTATTTACGAAACGAAGACCTCCATCGAGACTTGGAAATGGTATTCGTAGACAAGATAGTACAGAAAGACGCCGAAGCCCACCAACGCAGGCTTCACCATCATGTGAACGTCGAGACCATTGACTCCTTGACCACACAAATATCATAAGACGATTAAAACGGACAAAACCATATGAACCAGTGTACTGTTAATGTAAGATTAAATTAATTAGTGCCAGTGTTACTAAACAAAAAGATTACATGATAAAAGTGTCTTCGCCTTAATAGATGATAAGAAAATTGCCAGTGGGTGAATTCTTAGTATAATTTGTGTATGTATTAGATTAAGTGAAATGTAAATTACTTATTAGTCTTGTATTTGGCTAGATTGTAAGGTATTTATGATGGACTTTATTGGTACCTTATAAATAAATGGAAAAAAAAATTATAACTGACAGATTAAATCACAGAAGTAGAAAAAGTATATTTGGGACTATTTATCCGGTACCTAAAACTTCGTAATGTTAGAAAAGATTATTTCATTTTTATTTTATTTTATTGGATGTACAAAACAGTTTACATTCAGTGGAACATGTTGAGATACAATTTATGGTCTTAATCTAGAATGTAGACCTAATACTTGTACATACAGCGTTATTATGCAAAGTGTAAACATATTTGCGTAAGGATTACAAAAAAAAAACAAAAAAAGGAATAAGTGAGAAAAAGTGGAAAAGTGGGATTACAACATAAAACTAATGCAACTAAAGCCTAACATAGATAATCATTTGGCAGTACTAATGAGAAGACGAGTTGAAATATTTGAGGAGATTGGTACGATTTCGACAAAGATTGTTGTCGAGAACATCAATGTGATCTCCAGATTCTGATATTAGTAAATCATTGTAGTTTCGGCACATTCTAGTCACGGGGTTATAAAGGATGTATTATTACGATAAACATTTAACACAAAGGTTTTAGGACGACGAAGATTTGGTTTAATGTTAAAGTTAATGTGAGATAGCAGACCAGGAGAAACAAGGCTACCGTGTATGAGCCTATGTAAGACTACAATATCCTGTATTTTACGTCGGGTCCATAGTGAACAAATTTTGAACTTGGTCAACCTCTTTTGGTAAGTCGCAAGAATGCGACCCAGACCCGAAAGCGAATGCAACAATTTTAAGAGCCTTGTTCTGTACTTGTTCTATGCGGTTGGAGTGCATTTCATAATAAGGGGACCATATAACGCAGCCGTATTCAAGTAAACTTCTTATGAGACTGTTGAAGAGGTTGATAAAAGTGGAGGGTCTTCTAAAGTTTTTTTGTAGCTCTTACGATTAAACCTAAGGTTTTATATGACTTGGATACGATGTAATCATAATGATCTCTAAAGGTGAGTTTTTCATCAAAGTATATGCCCAGGTCGCTTGCTACAGATTTGCGTTTAAGTGTTTTGCCGCCGATTGCATAGTTAAAGAATATTTTTTTTGATGTTTGTTAGTGAAGCTCATCACAAAGCATTTGTCAACGTGAAGGTGCATATAATTTTGTTTGCACCAGTCTGATATTGAAATGGCATCACTCTGCAGTGCAATGCAGTCATCGATGTCTTTAACGGTTGTGAACACCTTAAGGTCGTCAGCGTATAGTGGATATGGGCATTTCAGCCTATGGATCAGGTCATTAATGAAAATATTGAAAAACAATGGTCCTAGGTGAGAACCTTGGAGTGTGCCAGATTTGATTGGCTTGGGAACCGACTTAAAACCCTTTACAACAACTAATTGACTACGATTCATAAGATAGGATTGTACCCAACGTAATAGGTTTCCATGGATACCGTACCATGAAAGCCTTTCACACAGCAAAGCATGATTTACTTTATCAAAAGCCTTCCGGAAATCAGTATATATCGAGTCCACTTGTCCACGCATTGCAAAAGCTGAGCACAGATAATTTTTGTATTCGAGTAAGTTTGACACAGTGGATTTACCCTTAATAACACCATGTTACAGTTCGGATAAAGATAACTTTACGTGAGCGAAGATATGATCGTACACGATAGACTCAAAAACCTTGGCTACATATGATATAAATACTAATGGGTCTGTAATTGTCACATATCGGTGGATCTCCAGATTTGTGTACAGGGAACACATGTGCCAATTTCCAAGTCGATGGAAACGTACCTGCGCTTAACGACAAGTTAAAAATTATGTGTAAGGGGACAGAGAGTTAAGAGGCACATTCTTTAAAGAATTTGGATGGTATATAGAGTGGTCCCGCCCTTTTCCGGCGTCCAGCTCCTTCAGCTTCCGCATGACGTCATATAATGTCAATGTTATGTTCGATAGCACACCTTCACACATTTGTTGTGCATCAGTAGGCACCACGTGAGGAGAATCATCAAATACTGAACCAAAATATTGTGATAGCAGGTCACAGATTCCTGGACCGTCTGATGCTGTAACATTGCCCAGTATCATGATACTTGGAATACCTTGCTTCGCTTTTTTCTTATTTATAAAGCTCCAAAAGACCTTAGTGTTTTTGGTTATCGCATCTTCCGTAACAAACAAATAGGCTCTATAGCATTTTTTCATAAGACCCTTACATCTAGTCCTCAACATTGAAAAAGTATCATAATCGCGTGGATTTTCGTGCTTTTTATATTTTCTGTGATACTTATCCGTTTCAGCGAGGCTTTTTTTTAGAGAAGATGCAAGGATACTATTGCACTTTTTAAGGGGGATTTTTTGGAAAATAATCTCATTAACCACAGAGTTAAAGATGTCAACCACCGAGTCGACATCATTACTCGATAGTATGTTTGCCCAGTAAATTTTTCCTAGTTCCGTGCGTATTGCGTTGTAGTCACCGTTGTTAAAATTAAATCGCAAATTGGGTTTAGGTTTCATTTTCTTGTAATTAGTGTTGTTACAAACTATTATATCTAGTAGTGGGTGATATCGCTCCTGATGCGACAAAGGTTTGCTTTCTGTAACTAAAGTAAGAGGTGTAGATGACAGTACAAGATCTAGTGTACGTCCTTGATAGTTTACGATAGGGTTTACTTGAAACATATTGTATATATATAAGCACTGACACAGTAGTCTGGATTTTAGGTCAGACGGGCAATTGAAACGAAAGTTGTTTTTATCACCAGGACTAGCAGTGGACCATACCAGATTGGAAACGTTGAAATCACCTAATATTATGTTAGTACTATTTGTAGTCATATTGTTAATAGTTTTGTGTAAGCTATCGTAGAATATTGTGAGTTGATTTGTTGGTAAATGTGGTGGTAAGTAGCAGACACATATATTTATAACAGAATCTGTAGGTTTTTCAGGTATAATAGTTATCCACAAGTCCTCAATCTCGCTCTCCCATTCCCGCCGGCGAACAACATTATATTCATCTTTTACAGCAATTAAAACACCACCTGATTTACTTATAAGACAAGATTCACGATCCCTTCGATATACAATGTAGCGTGAATCTAAAAGTTCTCCATCAAAAACACTGTGATTCAAGTTACAGATAATTATTTACAGTCGTAATTACAGTTTAGTATATTTGGATATAATTCAGTTGTTTTTTATCTAATTCTGTTTACATTTTGATAAAATAATAACATTATAGCATATAGTGTAAATAGCCAAATAGATGCTTAATCAATTTACAAAAAAAATATATATTACATTGAATTACATAAATTTGTTTAAATCAGAACTGTTCTTAACATGTATAACAGACTCATTATCGTCTTTCCTCATGTAAACACGTTCATATTTTACCCAAACGTATTTGTATGCGTTAGCTTTTGCAAACTTTCTCGTCTCAGTATGTAGCTTCTTTGTAGCAGGTGACAAATGTTCGGCGACATATACGGAACGGCGTTCACCTTCTACTCCTAAATGTAATGAACTTAGTGTATTAGAGCGATTCGCCTTGTTGTATATTAACTTACAAAGCCTTTTTTAATTATTAATACAAGGATCGCATACTTAGAAAGAATTCCTTCGATCCAGCCAAATTCGTACCGACGTCACCTAGCAAACCGTCTCAGACGCTATGCCAACTAAACCACGGAACTAACGTTGTCGAATCTTTACAGCGGTCAATAGACCAAATCTGACAAATGCGATTCTGTACGAAATAAAAACCAATGAGAGCGGCTATGTATGTGACATCAGTACGAACATCACCGTCAAGGAGGGACCGTTAATGATCAAAGTTTCAGGGCATTACGATGTAATAGATCATTTTTGGTAAGTTTTAGAGTAGAAACCGTTTATTGCAACGTCACATTATAAAAAACACGTAAAAAAGTAATGTAAATGAAAACAAAAAACAGTGTAGCAAACATTTAAAAAACAAGTTTTAATATAACAGATACCTAACTTAATACTATACTGATATGAGTGCAGCCGAATGAATGTAATAAACTTGTATCAGCCCACACGCGTGCCTACCTGTCAATGCTAAGCACCGGTGGCATCGGTTTACCTCAGGAGCGAATTTGGGTTATGCGAGTAATACACCAATCTTCACGAGTCTCATTTGAAGTTTTTTTCTTTGGCATGCAAAATTTCCCTCAACTATTACATCTAATACAAGGCAGAAAATCAAGCGCTCAAACTAAAGAATTTCTCCAAATGTGTAAAAGTACGAAACAATACCTCCAATTAACACTACGCCAACTCGAATTTTGGACCTGTGTTGTTTTTATTTTATTTTCGTTTCTTTTTTTTTCACAAAATTCGTTTTTTGTTTTTCCAATTTTGTTTTTGTTTCTTTATTTTCATTAAATACGGAGAGCATAATATGAGTGAAATAATAAATATGGCTGTTTACAAAAATAACATAAAACGACGAAAAATAAAGTTGACGTAGCGTTCATTGGTGGTATCGAAATGTAGGGCTTCAAACTAGACAAAAATAAGCAACATCATACCTATAGTTTGGTCTAATCTATACGATTTCGTACATAATGCTTGGATATCCATTTCCAGCCCTACACGTAACTAGATTTATTACATTGGTATCATGGCAGGTGATTTTCTTTACTCGAGTTACCGGAACAAAACGAAATAATATCGTTACTTATTCCCCAAAATTTACCAAAACTCAGACTTACATTTGTTTCAGGTGCCAAAATATTGAGCATGAAGAAGGTGGAAACCCTAACGTATTTTTAACAAAAGCAAATTTTTCTGAATACGAAAATCCAAATGAAGCCATAGCTTTTATAGTGAGTATCTGATACATATTTTACTACACATGACGCCGCCGCCCGTTTCGCTATCTTAAGGCCTGTTCAGATGTAAGCGTAATTCGAAGCGAATACGGAATTTAGTACAAATTCCAAACTTATTACAAATTTAATTAGACTCTAAGATTGAAAAAAATATATTCCTGAGCGTAGCGAGACACTATGGATTCTATTTTTTTACACACCCCACATTTCACCTCACTATAGTGTGGAACTTGGTAGATGAAACAAAAACAGTTGAACTATAACAAATCAGCTTTAATAAACAATTGTCAATTTAATGTCAACAATAATAAGAATAGAACATACCAACGGATTTGTATTTCATAACTAAATAATGTACGACAAATCGCGTAGTTGTACGTGCGTCATTATGTTTTTTTTTCCTCGAAAGAAAAAGTTAAGTGCACCACAGTCCATCGTCAAGTTCGAATTTCAATAACCTTTTCCACGCTAGTGAAAGACGCTTTTGCGCGCATATTTCTAATGAGAAAGAAAGCCTTTCTAAGCTAGTGAGGTGAAAAATCTTTTTTTACACTACAAAGAGGCAACTTCACACAATACCCACCATTCAATCCTGTGAATTCTCACTATACTAAGGATGCACATTACAGTTCGATTTTTTTGAATATCGATAAGTGTCTATCTAAGTATTACCTAACATTTTTCGTATCGATTATTACTTACGACTATTATTTAACATTTTTCGTATCGATTTCTTTCATTGCGATTTTCAAGCGAATCGATTCAATAGAAAGGCAAATCGAATCGTCTAGACCAGGAAGCAATAAACATTTTGTAATAATATCATTAAATTTGAAGAAAACTCGATTTACAACAAATATTCAGCCGTAAATAGTTTTTTTTGTCCTCAATTTCGGGCGTTAATTTGTTTTTAACCCGAGTTAAATCCAGCATTAACAAAGTGCGCATCTTTCGCCACGACAATAATATCACGAACTCACAATATTTCCTAGCTTAATGGTTTACCAAGATCTACACAAAATATTCTATCGATTCACATCATCAGATTACTTTTCTGTATCTAATTTTGGTGGAAATATTTAATATTTAAATTTACTCTAGAAGACAATAGAATATTATCATAAACTATTATTTAATATTCGAGTAGTATCCTGAAATATTATTTAATATTTCTTGATGATATACTCGAATATATAAATAATAAAAATTGCCACCGAAATTAGATAGAGAAAACTAACCTGAAAATTACCCAGTTCTTTTGATTCGTTTCTTTAATGAATCTGTACAGGATACCATTGATATCGGTGGAAATCACACGGAATGGAATTGCACCATGCTGACATGGAAAGACGCTCTGGCTCTGATAAATAAAAATAATTTATATTATTATGAAAACGCTTACTATTCAAAAATAACATGCACGGGATCTGTTCACATTGATGGTAAGTTGTTATTAGAGGTGCCTATTACGATAACAGATAATGTAATACATTATTCTTACGCAATGTATAACTCAACTGAACTGGACAAGAAATGGCCCTAATCATTTAATTGCCGTGGTGTTTAATTATTTACTCTCAGACAAATAAAAATTATTCACATTATTATGAAAAAGCTTTTTATTCAAAAATAATGTGCATTGGATCAATTTATGTTGTTGGTAAGTCATTATGATGTTTTTGAAACGATTATCTTTATTCAGCGTACGTTGATAACAAAAAAGTGCTAAGTGAGAAGAAGTACGTGTTTCAGACATTTGAACAAAATCAAAATAAGTAGTCGCTACTCAACAGTCACCCAAATCTCTTTTCCATTAAAATTTTTAATTGTCATTACTGTTACCATCCGAAATTGGTTGCACCTGCTTGTTGCATCCCGGAACGGAAGGAAAAGAACAGTGGAAGTGCCTTTAAAGCCAAAACTCATTCATAATTAGAAACTTGATAATGATTTAACAAAACAATTAATTAAAAAGATATAACAAATTCTGAACTGTGAGTACATTTTAAACTACCGTATTAAATACCCTTTAAAATAATACCTTGTTCAATATCCATTACTGTAAGTTACGACGTATTGATTTTATTTTGAAATTTCAATCAATGTGCTGCCATCTAACGGTTAATAGCTGAACGATCACAACTTCGAGTTGCATTCAATTTTCGAGTTGCACGAGATAATTGACTCGACTCACTTCTACTGCATTTATTGTTCTGTGTGTATAAGAATAACATAGGAACTCTGTTCTCTTTAACGCTTTAGAACATTGAAACAAATTTCAATTTTGAACAAAGAATTTTGACTGTAGCTAAGTTGGCAGAACGACGCTACGGTACAGCAACCACGCAGGTTCAAGTCCAATTGAGTCGAAGGTATTTTTCTGTGTCCGATCTTTGTATTAATAATTATAACTAACGACTTTTGATTCTTGTATAACAACAATTTAATGCAACACATTTCATTTCTAATTACTCGCTACGGCCGGTTAAAAACAGTTTCTAATATAAATTTAATATTCAGGAGAGGAAGCAGATGAAAACGCGCTGCTCTTTGAATTGAAAAATGGCCGCGAATGTTTGAAACCAAATCAGTATTTAACAGTCAAAGATAACGTCACCTTGACAGTAAAGGTATTAAATCCTACAATTCGAGTAACTGGCTATCAGTTTTGGTAAGTTTTATTAGTTTATTTTCAAGGTGGTATTTCCAGCGGTGCGGAGAGTGTAGTAGGTGGACTATGAACAAAAACCATAGTGTAATAACACGAGTAGGGCAACTCCCGCCTGTTCAGCGCTTAGATACGACCTCAAATGACTTTGGTTGATCCGCATAACAGTGCAAGTAGTGAATTTGAAAAAAATATATATTGAAATTGAGAGTATACACTGATTTACACAGTATTGATCAGAGTAACCTATTGATTTTTTTTCAAATTAGTTTATCTTCACATATTATATGTATATTGAATTATTAAATAATATAGAATAATGGTTATTAAAATTTCATAATTGTTTTTAGGCCCTCATTGCTCTTAAGCCCGCCTAAGATCTTAAGGACAAGGAGGTGGCTCAAAACCAGCGCTGTCTGCGACAACAACGGTTCCAGGCAGCACAAGCTGAGACACCTCCTTTTGCCCTCTGACATGTTTGGCGTACCGTTTATTGTTTGTTTATGTTTTGGCTTAACACGTTATTTATGTCAAAAAGTGTCATTGTGACAATAAAGGATATTTGTATTACACCTTAGAGGATGGAAAAAAAATTGTGTCCATAGTCTAGTGTGAAAACACAATTCCTACAAAATTACCTCTAAATTTTATAAGAAAACCATACAATAGGTATACAATAGGTACTTTACATTTAAGACGTAATTTTTTCAAACGGCTTTAATATCGTTTGTAAAAAAAATAAATTCTGAAATTGCCCAACTCGATCCAAGCAAAATGAACCGTATTAGTACAGAAACAAAAATTAATTCGGAGCGTGGGGTTATCACGTAATTATTTTAAAATGTGGTACTCGTACTCTATTTCAGGTGCAAAAGAGTTGACAAAAATACCACAAATGACAGCAAAGTTTTTGAAACAAATATGACTTATATGTTACACACACAACGTCCAAATTACGCTGCTGCCGCTATTGTAAGTATTCATTTAACAAATAAATGTGTCAAATGAACACACCCGGTGTACTATTAGTATGAATCGCGATCTGTCTTTTGACTCGTATCTAATGTGTATAATTTCTTTAGCTTCAATGCCATTCGCGGCAATATAGATTAAGCCTAACGGTACACAGAACTATAATTTAGGGTGCGTACAGATCTGGCTGTTTGCGAAAACATGTATAAACATGTATTTAATTGCACGCATCCACAGCCGCAGCCGCAGTTCGCAGCGCCTTCGTCAGATCTGTAGGCATCCCTACCCAGCACGTCTATGACAAATTACTTACATGTGTAAAGCCCGCTAATCGCCACCCACACACATCATCACTGAATATTTTATTCATTGTTTTTATTACTTTCAGCCAATAGAATCAGCTCTTGGAGAATTCGATTGCTTTTTAGGTGTAGATCCACACGCGTATGATCAACACAGACACAATACGATATACGACGAAAATTCCAGATATAAAGAATTGTGTCGGGTCAGACTTAATGTTACAGGTTAGTTTAGAGTCAATAACTTAACAGTGATATAAGTGGTGACGATAGTATCTATGCGCAGTTGTTAGTAATTAGTAACCACAGTTAGGCCACAAACTGGACAACGGGGGCTCATAATTACTGTCAAATAAGTAACACTTAACAATTTTTTTTATAATATCAAGTGACGGGACGAACAAGTCGTGTGCATACACGCTTGTCCATATCAGGTCCAGTGCCACTCAGAGCTTTAAATCGCAAAGATCTGAGAAACACTGACACTGCGACTGTCACGCTAAGACATAAGTTGGCAAGTCCCATGTGCCTGTAGTTTCACCAGCACCCTTATCATTCAAAACCGGAACGCAGTAATGATTACATTACAAGACTAATATCCGAAAAAAATAGTTTAATTTCCTATATGTAACAATCGCGAAAACCTAAAGATCTCGATGACAGACGCTTTTTAATGTTTTAAGATACTTCATCTAGCGACGTGTGGGTGATTCTGGGCGTGGTGTTTGCGGGCGTGTCGATTATCGTCGTTTTGAGTTCCGGCGTAGCGGCTGCAATATTTCGGTGTCGAAGACAATGGAGACGAAACGAAGCCATGTCGAAAAGTGAGGTATCTCAAATTGATTAAACTTTTATAAGTAGAGTTTTTTGTCGATTATATTTATTTAACTTGTTTATTTTGAATTTAGTATTTGAATTTTCGTATTGTTTATTTATCACTTTTTTTAAGCCAGGAACTGGACGACAGCGACTTGATCAAAATGCGTATAATAAATTTGCAAATACTGTTCTCGACGCGCATCACGCCTCTCGCCAAAGTAGTAGAGTCCATCCCCATAAATTAGATGAATGACATTGTAAGACCACGCGGGTATCTCGTTCGTTCCTTCCTCTAATCTGCAAGATGTGGAATGATCTTGCCCTTGAAGTAGGTATTTACTTTGCGCATGATACATGAGGTTCTTCAAAAAGCGTGTTGACTGGACTCTCAAAGGCTGACAACGCATTGGTAGCTCATTTGAAGTTGCAAATGTCCATGGGCAACGATGACCACCTCCCATCAAGAGGCTCGGCAAACGAGCACGTTTGCCTCCTTCTTTACATAAAAAAAAATAGATGGCTCATTAATCAATACATAAAGAAGAATATAGTATAGACTATTCGTTCATAATTAAAGTGTATTTCCAATTCAGGCTAGATATTTGCTACAATATAGTAAAATATTTCCACAGTAATTCTAGCGTAATCATAGAAGTTATACGGATTTTATCTTTTATCTTTGTAATTTCG